GTTAATTTTATAGAATTAATTTTAAAAAATGAGTCAGACTATGATGTTGACTTTAACTATGGAGTGCCATCTAAGATTAAAGTATTAAGGGCATGAGAAGACAAAACAATGGGGAGGGGGAAGACTTGCTTTTTACTCTTTCCCTTGCAACTGAAACTTTCACTTTGGATTACAATATCACAATTGGCAACCACTAGAAAATCAGCCAAAGTAGCAGAAGGGAGTAGAGACTTACTAACTAGAACAACTCAGAAAGGAATTACATCAAATTTATCAGAAAATGTTTTGAGGAATTAAGCAGAAAATTAGCTGAATCACTTGATATTAAATTGATAAAAATGTATTCATGCTCTTTGTTACCAATTGAGGTTACGTTCTGCATGTAAGACAATAAGAATGAGATATGAAAAAAATGGTTATTAACAAATTACAGGTATTTGTTCACTTTACAAGGCACTTCAATAGTCCAAGTAACTAGGCAAATAATAAAGCATAATAAAACAAATCGAAGACAGTAATAAACAGAACTCTCTGTATTTTATGTGCTGTCATAGAAAAGATAAACATAACTAAAAAATGCAAACTTTTCCCCTTCAAAAAGGGTTTTTTCCATAGAGCTGTCTCGAGTGTCCAGGTTGGGAGGAGCTCCAGTCTCGGCTCTCACAGGCTGAGCTTGAGATTGAGGAACGCCTCTCACCATCACGTGGTCCTCCGGGCGCTCCCCAGTTTTTTGCTCAGCCTCGTGGCAGCCAGGCTGTTTTTTCCCTCGCTCCTAGTCGTTGCAGCACCTCAGCGTTTTCTTTTTTTTTTTTGAATTGGATCCTACTTCAACCAGCGCAGGAACTTGAGGTTTGAACTCCCTAGGGAGTCTTTCTTTTCTCAGGGGAATCGCTTATACCCTCTCTGCAGGAGAAAGCCCAGCGCTGCCCCCCCCCTCGTTTGCTGCCTATTCGCCCCGCGCGAAGCCGCTTCTTCCCTTCCTGCCTGGTACTGTAACCGCCGTTTCCCCCCCACGAACGCCTTCTAGCCCAGGGAAACGCTTCCCTGTCTCTCCCAAGGGGCTTTTTTGTGGCCTACTAGTCCTTAATTTCAGTTTGGGAGATAGCCGCCGCTGGGGTTGCTTTCGTTCTCGCGGCCTCCATTTTGGGCTCCCTGTGGCGTCCGCCATCTTGGGTGTGCCCAGGAACCGCCGCCATTTTGTGTGTGGCCGCATGGCCTGCCGCTAGTGCCAGAGGCCCATAACAGGCCGTTTTTCTCTATTCTGATTTATAGCCAGACTCCGGACTGCCTATATCTCTGCCCTTTTCGTTTTTTTCTATCCGGCCCTTCAGCTAACCAGGGTCAGTTGACTCTACAGCCCCTCCCCCAGCAGGCGAGGTAGCAGCTCCGCCATCCCCCTTCCCTGGTCCGTCCGGCAGGGGTAGCTGCCTGGCGTTCAAAGACTTGGCTGATTGGCTTCTGGGCTAGGCCCTGCTGTGCAACAACTCTCTATTAAATACAAAATCTTTTGATCAAAAGGGGGGGGTGAAACGTGCGCTGGGATCCCCGGCCTCTACGTAGACCGCATCCAGATGTGCAACCTTCGCGCATTACTTAAAATTACTTGTTGGTGGCCCCAGGGCCGATTGCCACTGCTAGAGGCCTACCTGCAGGCTGCATTGTTTTTGATTCCTGGGCAGATCCTCGGACTGCCCAAATCCTTACTCGTACCCTGCAATCCTGCCTTGGTACTCCTATAGATATAGGAGTCTACTGGCTCCACAGCCTCTCCCCAGCAAGGGAGGTAGCAGCTCTGTCATTCCCCTCCCCCGGTCCGCCCGGCAGGGACAGTTTTCTTGGTGTTCATTTCTGGCTAGTTGGCCTCTGGGCTAGGCCCTACTTCTCAACAATGTTGCTTCACACCTCTGTTGCCTCTGACTAAAGGGGGGTACGAAACGTGTACTGGGATTCCCGGCTTCTGCTTAGGCTGTATCCAGACCTGTTAATCACCTCACATTAATCATAAACTTTCTTCTTTTCTCCTCTCCAGATGGCAGATGACAATACATCCCGTGGCACTTCCCTGAAGGCCAAGGCTAAATCTCACCACCTGCGCAAACAAGCACAGGAAGCATCCAAAGCCTCTCAAAGGGATGCCCTTAGGCGACACAGGGCCCTTGAGAAGGAGATTGACAGACGCTCCAGAGAGTCAAGCTCTGTGCCTCTGGATCCTTCCACCTCAACCTCCACCCATCCTCCTCTCCCCTCCTCCCCTGCTTCTGCCTCTTCCTCACAGCCTGGACAGGTCCCTGAGGCCACCATACCTCCCACCGCTGTAGGTCTGCGCCCGGAGGAGCCTCACCCACCTCCCACGGTAGAAATCCCCGAAACCTTGAAACAAGCGATGGAGCTGGCCATCCGGCAGGGGATAGCGCAACAGATTCAGCAGCTGGCCGGTCTGGCCCCTCGGCCTGCAGCTCCCGAGGCTCAAGGTTCAGCGGCTTCGCACGGTCAGGTAGCTTTCCACGGGGACTTGACCTTGCCCTTGGAGATGGAGGAGATGGAGGCCCAGGAACCCGGGGACCCTACCCTCTTTGGGGACGAGGAGGATCTCGAATTGGGGTCTATCATAGACAGTGAGCTCCTCTCGGGAACAGGCCCCCTAGAAGGGAACATGTCGGAGGACGAGGGCCTCACTCCAGGCCAGCCTGCGTTTTTGGGGCTGTTTAAGCCGCACCTATTTAGGTCCCTCCTGTTCAAGGCCAGGAATACCTCGGGCCTGAACCCACCCCTCCCACCCAACCCAGCGGCATCGGGAGTTCCTCCCGATTCTATTTTCTCCCAGCCTGTGGTGGAAACCGAAGTGATTCCTGTCCCACCCATATTCTCTGACATGGTCTCAAGGCAGCTAGCCTCCTGGGGGCCCCCTCCCCCCCCCAACGCCCAGGACAAGCGGTTTTTCAATCTGGAACCGCAGTTCTCTACCTTGCTCGACCCCCCCCCCGTGGACGAGCCCGTAGTAGGTCTGGCTTCTCGCTCAACTCCCAGCGAGTCACTCGAGGCTCTCCAGCCCGAGGACAAACGAGCTGAACTGGCCCTGCGCTGCGCTCACCTCTCTGACGCCTGGGCAGTCAGGGCCTCCACTGCCGCGTCCTTTTTCATTAGAACCTCCATCAAGTGGCTCCAGCAGCTCAAGCAGCACGTTCCCGCAGCTAATCTCAGAGCGCACCAGGACATTGCTAAGATCCTGGCCGCGGCCGAGTTCTTGGCAGACGCCACCTTCCAGGCTGCAAAATTCTCCACCAGGGCCATTTCGTCCCAGGTCACTGCCCGTCGCCATCTCTGGCTCCGCCTCTGGCAAGCGGACGTAAAGAACAAGGCTAAGCTAGCATCAGCCCCCATCTCTGGGGGGAAGCTATTTGGACCGGTTCTCGATCCATTCCTGGCCGAGACCCGTAACAAACGCAAGTACCTCCCTTCCCTTTCTAGGAGGTCTGACTTCAGAGGTTCCTCTCCCTCTTCTCGCCAAGGTTCTTCCCGTTCCTCCTCTTTCCCCAGGTACTACCAATCCTCTCCCTACAGGCCTCCCGACCAATCGGAACCAGACAGGTCCGGAGGTACCTCTTCCAGGAAGCCCTCCCGGGGATCCGGGAGAGGTTCGTTCCGTCGGTCCCGATAATGCAGTCGCCCCCAGGTGGCTGCCCCCCCCCCCTCCAAAAGGGAAAAAAAAACGGGAAGAAGGAGAGCAAGGAAGCCAATCCTCTTCAGGCTTCTCGCCTAGTCAGGCTCTACTCTGACACTTAACCCCTGCAAAACCCCTTTCTCTTCAGCCTTGCCCAAACCGTCGGGGAAGCCTAATCCTCATATCTGCATTACCTCTCTATACCAAGACTCCCGGTAGGCCATACGGCTCCCGGACGCAGGCTCCTAGCCTGGAGCACTCTTGTCCTCCTGACCTTGCCCCAGGGCAACTGGCCGGCAACACATCTACCCCCACCCCATGTTAGCTGGGGTTCCTCTCTGGGCTCCCGGCCTTCCACAGCCTCATAATCCAGGTACACGGATCCCTCGCCCTGGTCCTCTCTACAACCCTCATTCCCAGCTGAGGCGGCCCTCGGTCAGCTGGCTCTTCAGCAGGGCCGACTGCCTCGCCCTGGGCGGAACCGGACCTGGTCCCCACCAGCACAGGCCACAGCTCAGGAACACTTCACGCCTCCCCTCCATCACTCTGACCTGGAGTTCTCTCAGGGGGGTTCCCACCAAGGGTCTATCCCATAGCACCCTAGGGCGTCACATCGCCATCCTCGCAACCGTGGCCTTCCCGTCATTGAGGGTTCCTTCCCTCAACCCCGGCTAGGTCTCCCTCAGGGAAGCTTCCCATCCTCGCCCCTGCCCGGGCTCCTTCGACCCGGGTCCCTAACAAGGTCCTGGCCGATCTTACCTAGTCTCCTTGCCCCACGGCCCCAGTAAGCATCTATTGGCATCCCCGGCAGGGCTACCTTCTAGACAGCCCCGCCTCCTTCATTAGGCCCTCTTGTTGAGACATTCCAACCTCCAAGGGGTTCTCCTGTCGGGCATGCCCTCCAGCGGGTCATCAGGGTTCCGGGAGAGGTTCCATTCCAGACGGGAGCCCGCCCACAGGACTAGCCAAGCTTTGGTATGTCCCAACCTGGACACTCGAGACAGCTCTATGGAAAAGGGGCGTTGGTTCTTACCTGATACGCTTCTTTTCGTAGAGCTGTAGAGAGTGTCCAGCCCCACCTATAGGCTGTCTGGTGGGAAACCTTGCTGTTCGACCGAGCGAACTAATATTTTTTTCCTGAGTAAGATGAGAACAGGGCCTTCCTTCTCGTCTTCGCAAAACTGGGGAGCGCCCGGAGGACCATGTGATGGTGAGAGGCGTTCCTCAATCTCAAGCTCAGCCTGTGAGAGCCGAGACTGGAGCTCCTCCCAACCTGGACACTCTCTACAGCTCTACGAAAAGAAGCGTATCAGGTAAGAACCAATGCCCCTTTTCTTTCTTTCTGAGATAAAACATTAACCTGGGACACCTGTAAGTTGCCCTGTCTTGGGACTGGCCATCAAAGCTTATCACTTTAAAGAATGCTAAGTATAATTCACAGCCATATTCTTACTGATATTTAAAAATGGATAGTTCCTGCAATAATCTAATATTGCAAAGTGACCTTTTGCTTCCAGGTATTTACACTCCACTTTAGCTCTTTGGTGCTTTTCCTCTCCACTGTCCTCACTGTCCATTCACCTCAAAGAATTATTTGAGGGAATTGTTATTCAACTATTCTTAGCACCATTTGTTTCGGAGTGCTCCAACTTAAGTTTCATATGATCTGTACCAACACTCCTACAAATATAAAAGAGTAAAACATTGCTATAAAAATAAGTAATTGAGGGATAATTCAAATCAGTCCACCAACAATTACAACTTGTTTTTCAACAACCTCAAAGAAACCTCAAAACAGTTTCCTGCTTTTGCTATAATGGAATAGAAATAACATTTGAACCAAACACCATTTATGATTATTTAACAGAAAGTAGCCTTAGAGACCTATAACTTTAAAAATATCATCAATGTCATCTTTCTGTTCAATGGCTTTTTCCTGTATGTGGGTAGGATGACTCTCTAACACTGCAGGGCCAGGAATGCCATCGTGGTTGCTTTCCTCAAAAATCTTTGTACCACTGGAGTCCAAAGTCCGAAATAGAAAGCACTGATTCAGGAAAGGAGATACCGTTCCCTTGAAGAGAGGACTCCCTCTAGGTACAGAAGTAGCCTGTGAAACACAGCTCTGCTTCCTTGACAGTCTACTATTTCGCTGGGGACTTCCTCTAAGAAATTGCATAGGTCTCTCTCTGCAAGTTTGGAGTGTAAGAAATTTACAGATAGTGGCTTTAATACATCCAAGTTTCCGTTGCAATCTGTAAAAGAAAAAAAGATTAGCAATTAAAGCAGCAAAGAGCAATTGTTTGATGTAACAGTTTGTAAAACCAACATTTTATTTTTCATAATCCAGTTCTTTCACATGTCAAAAGTTCTAGTGAGGGAAGAGTTTAATCGACTAATCAAAATCTGGAACAGGTTACAGAAGAAAGCCTAACACTATGGATGCAGATCCAACACGATTCATGCCATTTAATTTTATTAATATGAACACTGAAAAAGTTTCATCATTTCCATATTACAAATATGGAAATTACTTTTAGCATCCATCTGGGGATCAGAGAACCTATAATTCTCTAGATACAGGTTTTCAAACTTTCCAGGTCTCTGTGAATTATATGGGAAGAGACATGAACCCCAAAACACTTGGTGAAATGTGTTTCAGACAAGCAGACCGGTGGGTGACAACTAGAGGCGGACACCGCTGGTAGGCATCATGTCAGCCCTCCTTGGCAAGTCGGAACTGTACTCACAAATTACTTTACTCACGTTCGTCAGGCAAGGTAATAGTTTATTGGAAACGTTCCTCCAAACAGGCAACAAAAGCAAAATGCCATGTAAAGCCAGCGCTGAGAGCAACTGCCTCTCAGCGCTTTAAATATATACTTCCCACCCTTGCTAACTAACCTAACATCCGCCCTCCCAACTAATTCCCCACGCCTCCTTCCCGCAGGGCTAATCACAGCTATTCCTAACTTTCCTTCCTTCTTGCAATCTCACCCAACCAATAGCAGCACGCTCCTCCCACCCCACCCCACAGTATGCAGCTATCCTCATTGAAAACAGCATCGGTAAATCGCTATGGCTCCCACGTGTGCCGTCATGCCACCCTGTACTGTCCAAACAATTTCAGCAACACCAAGTCAGTCTCATAACTGAGATCCCAAGGCTCCAAAACAACCATTGCTTTTGCCAATCGAGCCAGCGACAAAGCGTTTACCCCCGTTGCCACTGTGATACAAGCCGCTTCCCAGCTGAAGCTCATTAACAAACGTAGCAGGCTGTCATTGTGTTGAGCTTCACCCTGGGAAAACATCCAGATCACTGAAGCCCAACACATCACAGATGATACCTAGGTAGATGGGGGCTATGGAGCATGGGAGGAGAGGTACTGCAGGCAAGCACTATGAAGTGGGTGATGTGGGCAAGCACTGTATCAGTACAGATAAGACACCCCCCCTACTGCTCAGGGGCTCCCCTCCCTGCAAAAGACAAGCAACTTGCAGGAGCAACGTGCAACCTCTGCCAGCTTTCCCACTGACTTTGCTTGTTGAAAGATGACATGGGAGGTTGCAAATGTCAATATATGACCACAGGGCACTGCAGTCCTTGTAATTGAGAGCTATTTGCCGTGTGCCCAAATCCCAATCATGTGACGATGGGGATGTTACAATAGCTACAATTTTGGGCATTGGTCATAAGACCCTTTCATTGAGTACCACCATAACTTTGAACAGTTGCTGACCAAGTGGTCACTAAGGAAGGACCATCTATATTTCAAGAGTACACAGAGCCTGTTTAGAAGGTATGGAAAGACAAGGACTACAAGCAATCTACACACCTGCAACCTTGGGCTTCCACATGCTGCAGCCTCTTGCTTTTTAAAAGCTTCATTCCTAAGAAGAAAGCCCCTGATCTAAATTTATTGTTTTTACACCAGACAACTGTCATTTTCAGTGTTTGAGACAGTTCTTCAAAGGAGTGCACTGCTTTAAACTTGGACACAAAAGAGTGAAGATGCTGAGATCTCAGGGCTTTAGAAGAAATAGATGTGATTTTCTTTGACTCGGGAAGCATATTACTGCATTTAGAATTCTGAAATAAAATAGTAAAAAATTAACACTGGAAAATATTTAATTAAAAAGCTAAGAGAGAACTTTAACACACAGTATCCTTGGCTAAAAAGTCTCAGTGTACATAAAAGAAAAGATACATTCGTCAAGAGTCAAGGATTACAAGATACGCAACACTTAATAATAGCCATAGGGTACAATAAAACAGGAGAGAGGAGCATTAGTTTTGTAATTGCCTTTAGCTGATCCAAAATAAATGTGGGATAAAATTGTTTTTCCTTCTGTTCAGTCATGTGTGATTCTTGGAGACAGCCCCAGTTTTCTTGATAAGGTTTTCAGAAGTAGTTTGCCATTGCTTCCTTCCCGGGCTGAGAGAAAGTGATTGGCCCAAGGTCACCCAGCTGGCTTATGCCTGAAGAACTGATGATCTCCCAGTTCTAATCTAATGTCTTAACTATTACATCAAATTGGCTATCAAATATAAATAAAGCCTACAAGAATAGAATGGAACAAACCTCCTGTGACACAGGATTAGGATATTTGCATAATGTCTTCAGATCAAACTCCAACTTCTCTGCAAGATCTAAAAGAAAAGGCACATGGAGATAAAACTAAAAACAGGTAAATAATATTAAATAACAATAGATTTAAATCAGTAAATCTGCTATGTCAGTCTGGCCACTTCAATCTTTCAGGATCAGTACACTTCGCAATATCTGTTTTTCACAAAACTGGCTTTTCACCCAGGCCTTTGCAGAGGGACAGTGAGACCCCTTGCTTTATTCTATCTTATCTGTCATGCCATATTTTAATAGTTCTATTTTGATTTTTTTAGTTGTAAGGGCACAGTTGTTAGGAATTGAACATGCAGGTTTAATAAATTATTATTTTGTACATTAGATAGTAATCTTCCAACTTAATACAAGATATAAAAGCATTAAAAATTGTATACCATGCTGTAATATAAGCATGAGTGACTGTTACTAATATTCAAATAAATTAAGCAGCCATTACTACCAGTACTCACCTTGGTTAGTTCTCTTTATCAAAACTGGTTTTCCAATATCGTAAGTATTTTGGCTACCTTTACTCTTTTTCTTCTTTTTTTTCCTGACTGCTGGAGGAACTGTTGCACTCAGATTCTGAGAGTGGGATACAGTTTTATGTACAGAAAACAATGTATTTATCCATCCAGTGGCAGCTTTCCTTTCTATAAATGCTTTAGGCATTTTCTTCTTAATCTCTAAATAACTGGTTTCCAGAAAATCATTTATTTCAGAAGGAAAGACAAATTCTTTAATATATGGCCTTTGGTGCATTTTTGCTACTTCTTGAAGCAATTCAAACAGATCCTTATATAACATACTAAGCTTCTGTAATACAGCTCCATAAAGAATCCTAGAATAATAAAGGAAAAACACAGAGATAGATGTAACTCTTGATATTGGCTAACATAATTCTGTGTTTGCTTCTGATTTTCACCAAGATCTCCAATTCAGTATCAGTTATTGACTAACAATAAACTTTGGCAATAAAATTAACAGTCATCCTGAAGAAAAAGTCAAAGAGGCTTGTCACTTGGAAGGGGTGAGTAGCTTCTAAATATTACAACAGTACCAGGATTTTTGAAAATGCTAGTTACTAGTGTAAGGATCTGAAATGCTATGAGCCTTACTTAAATAAAGCACATGCACACACGAAGCAGAATTCATGTTCATTAATCAAAAGCAAAGAAAGACAGATTGATAGAAGAATGAGTTAACTACTTTGGTCAGAATGTGTGGCAATTTTATTTATCCGAAACAAAGGAGATCCAGTTACCAGATAATGGAATAATTCTAACACAGTGAGAAAGACTACAGTTCCATCTTTGGAAAAAATGAACTCCAATGGTTGGGCAGTACATATGGTCCAAATCCATCTGTATACCGCTAAAAGTTTATTGGAATTAAGATATGCCACTAGACATTATTTTGCATTGAAGAAAGATCCCAAATTGAACATTCGGAAAAAGATATTTGCATATAAAACCCACTAGACATTAAGTAACCACAACTAGATCTACACTAATGGCACCTGCCATTTTTAGATTTCTTCCACACAAAACCAATTTGGGAAAAAGAAATAAAAGCGTATAAGTCAGTATGTTCCTTTTTCCCATCCCAACTGACAAAGCTCCAGAGTTTCTGAATATGCCATTTAATCTCCTTCATCCAGCATTTTTCCTGGATCTACCACAACAATAAATGCAGTTGGAACTTTATAAATTGCTGTGTGGTACAATACCCATTGGTATGCAACCCCAATCTAATTGGCAAGAAACTGGCTAAACAAAATGTTTATTATAAACATGTAAATGAAAAACTAAAAATAAAACAATAAAAATATTTAAGAGGCATACATACCATAACCGACTCAGCAACCCCAAAATCAAAGTATTGAACAATACATACTCTTCCAAACACAGATGTTTAACAATTAAACTGAGAAACAAATGGGTTAAGGCTGGATATTTGCCAAAAAAACCTAGATATCCAATTTAAATGTCTATTTTACAGGCACAGTTACTAAATTATGATGCCAGTGAACTGCAAAAACTTAAGACCATAACCAGTAATGAACAAGATATTAACAACTGTATAAATAGTTTTTGGGAAGGATACGTAAATGCTCTACAACAACATTCAAGTAAACGTAGTATAAGCTTGCAACTACCCAGTATCTTCACCAGAACAACTTCTATTACAGGCTGGCTAGGCACCAAGGACTCCTCAGAATTTTCAGATTTCTGTTTTCTATTTAAAATAAATAGAGAAGAAAATGTATATATTCTTGAATGCTATTGTCTCCTGCTTTGTCACAAGCTGATATGGTAACTAATAGTAACTAATGCCATTAACACAGATTATGCAATACAACTCTGTCTGCAACTCTTTAAATCAAATGAGTTTTTTCTGAATCACATGGTAGCTGCAGGTGATAGTCACACTGTACCAGAAGTCTTCAACTTATGACAATTGAACTCCAAATTTCTGTTGCTAAGTGAGACAGCTAAGTGAGTTTTGCTCCATTTTACAATCTGTCTTGCCATAATTGTTAAGTAAATGACTGCACTTGTTAAGTTAGTAATATGGTTGTAAGTACATCTGGCTTCCCTGTTGACTTTGCTTGTCAGAAGACAGCAAAAGGTGATCACATGATTCTGGGACACTGCAACTGTCATAGATATAAACCAGTTATCAAGCACCTGAATTTTGATCCTGTGGCCATGGGGATCCTGCAAGTCATTAAGTTTGAAAAATGGTCATCAGTTACTTTTTTCAGTACCATTGTTAACCTCAGTCATTAAAAAAAAGGTTGTAAGTTGAGTAGTTTAGTTTTAGTTTAGTTTACTTTATTGTCACTGTACCTTGTACAACAAAATCAAACACCATCTTCAGTGCATATCATGACCATAAAAATAAACACAAACACACATCCTTCACCCTCCACACATTGAACTGAAAATCCCCGGCACTGCACAAATACTGCACTATATAGCAGAATTCAAAAGAGCTACTGCCCTGGGATAGAAGCTGTTTTCAGCCTATCTGTCCTTGTTTTTATTATTCTGTAGCGTCTGCCAGATGGTAATAATTCAAAAAAAGGGTTCCCAGGATGAGATGGATCTTTGAGAATGTTTTGAACTTTCTTAAGGAAGTGGGAGCTATAAAGCTCTTCCAAAGAGGGGAGAGGGCAACCAATGATCTTCTGGGCAATGATGTTAACCCTCTGGAGTGCTTTTCTACCTGCCACTGTGCAATTGGCAAACCATACAGAAGTGCAGTAAGTTAAAATACTCTCTGTGGTGTAGCAGTAGAAGGTCACCAGCAGTTTTTCATTCAGTTGTTGTTTTCTGAGAAGTCTCAGGTAGTATAATTTCTGCTGGGCCCTTTTGACCAGGGCTGCAATGTGAGCACCCCAGGTCAGGTCCTCTTTTATGGTAACAACCAGAAACTTAAAACTGGCAACTTGCTCCACTCAGTCTCCATTGATAAGCAAGGGCTGGATGTCTGATCTGTTCCTTCTATAGTCCACTATAAGCTCCTTGGTCTTATTAGTGTTGAGGACCAAGTTATTGTCTCCACACCACAAAAGCAACCGGTCCACCTCATATTGATAGTCAGACTCATCCTACTACCTGTATTGGGAAAAGCCGCTTTAAGGAATTCCAGATGAGTGTGGTGTTTGTACTCTGTGAAGAAGCTAACCTTCTCCTGTTTGCTGGAGTTTGCAAACTCTGGATGGACTGCCTTCCCCTTGCTTGCTGGGTGGGAAGGCAGCTGGAGGCTTGCAAGCTTCAGATAGCTTATTGTCTTTTGCTTGCTGGGTGGAAAGGAAGCTGAAGGACTATGGGGACCCCAGAGAAAAGTGGAAGTAGCCTTGAGAGAGGTTCAGGGCAGGCAATCTGAATAGGCCACCCAGGGCCTCACCCAAGGCATTCTGTGCTCTGTTTAACAATTCTCATTTTCATTTAATGGTTACATCAGGAAGAGTAGAGAGTAGGGTTATGTGTTGCTTAACAACTATTGTGACATGTACCCATCAGTCATATTTTAAGGACGACCGGTATTAATAAAACTATCAAAACATGGACATGCTAGCAAGCTACTTACATGAGGCCCATCTGAGTAATTTTTTGAATCGACTTTTCCAGATTCATTAAATTTAAACGTTTCAAGCACTGTTCTACCTGAAATTATGAAGGGAAAAAATATTGCTTACTGGTCCATATGAAAAAGCAAGCAAATTGATAGCATTCTTATTTACAATAAATATGCTTAGCTCTAGATGTAAAAGAATCATTTTTTCATAACTCATATTCTTATAACCAGATTCTTCATATGCACTGTGTCTCCAGCATATATACTTGTAAGCACTCCTTACTCGTTCAAAATTAAGTTTCAATGTAGTGTATGTTTCAATAAATGAACAGAAATAATCTACATGTCCCCAAAATTAAGCAAACTTTCTGCAGAACCGAATGCATTCTATTTATCTGAAATGATTTACAGATTCAAAATAAAACATAGTAGATGCAAAATCCTTAGTCACGGTTATATAACTCTCATGACAAAAATATAAGCTTCTAGCTAAGTCTTTTTTAATATTGTATTTTGATTTTTTTTCACTCTTCCTTGAAGAATTCCTCTACCAAAGATGACACAATGGGCAAATTCAGCATTTTTTTTATTATGGAAGGCCTTATTCCATAAAGTAGAATTGCTGGATGCCACATGAGTGATTCCTACAGATTAAAAAGATTTAATCAAAATTTCCAAAAAAGTCAACATTCTACCAACCTGTTTAAGACTCCCATATGCCTTTTGATGGATCATCTGATAATGGTAATTATAAATGATTGAATGCAGAAGGCTCTGTTCTGCAACCAGCATTTTGCTGTTCAACATGCTGTCAACAGCCCAACACTTCTTCAAAACAGCTGAAAGGCATCTCACTAGAAAATATAAACACATGCATCCATAGGAAGATGCAAAAATTCACTCAATAAACCAGTAACAAAGTAAGCTCTCAAATTCCAGTATCAGTTCAGTGGTCACCATACCTCTCTTTAATATAAATTTAATATATATCCCTTTAAAAAAATCATCTGAGTACAAATAAACATTAACAACAATAAAACTTTGGGAAACATAGATTTATTGTAACATTGTACAACTAAAAAGTTATTTCCATCTCCCCTGCATATTCTGTCTATCTCTTCAAGAGAGGTACACATGATGGTTTGGGAAACCCAGAGTGAGTTGTCTGCAGCAGATTAGCAAAGAAGTTGTAGTATGAATTATACAGAAATTTTTCCGTTCAGCAATTCATTTGTATTTTGTCCACGATCTTCTCTCCATACTTCCTGACATGGAATACCAGATACTAGTGGCATATATAACTGCTGTTTTTTGCATGGCATGTTTATGCATGTTTAATTAAACCATGGTTTATTCAATGAATCCAGTTTTCTGGGTTTGCGTTACAGTGAACAATATCACCAAAAGCTGACTTCATGCAATACAACAGTAGTCTTAGGTTTCTTTTTTCTGAATTATACATGTTCACAACTTTATCCCTCAAGTCCAGCTTAATCAATTAACCCCATATTAATCGACAGTTTGAAAAAACTAAGAGCATTAAGTTATCCAAGTTAAACACTTCTAAGCCACAACTGGTTTAACATTGAGAGAAGATGATGTTTCCAGTAAAATCAATCAGAAACAAATCACAATCCTACATAGGCAAAAATGTACGATTTTGTTAGCGGGACGAGCTATCTCGCGTATGTTATATAGGCTCAAGATCAAATCTGCTGGATAATAATTTAGTCCCGTTACCCAAAAGTCTGTCAGTTAAACGACATTTTCTAAATAAATAAATTTTTAAAAAAGAACAGGCAGCAAAGTCCGCAGCACGCGTACTTTTATCTAACACTCAAATTTAACGCGGAATGCAAAGATGTTCCGCTTTATCATCCAGAGAGCCTCGTTCCGCATTCAAATCTCTCCATTAACCTGAAGCATGTTCAGCCGGCACGACTTCGGCCGAATTACAAGCAGGCCAAGGCACGTCCCACCGGTTCCACACCGCCTCCCCGGCTCCGAAAGCCGCCATCTTGCCTGGCGGAGAATCCCGAATTAAGAGATATCACCGGAAGGAGGACTGACGGACGACACCCCCACTCCCCGCCATAGGACGAAGTAGAACAAAAGAGGAGAGTCCTTTAAACGTCTCGCCTTCTGATTCGCTATTCCGTCGGAGAGGCGGGACTTGGAAGCGCGCTTTAGTTTGATCCATAGGGAAAGCTTCTGATGGCGTATTCAGAAGTCCCCAAACTTGACACCTTTAAGACTTGTGAACTATGCTGGCTGGATAATTCTGAGAGTTGAAGTCCACAAGTCTTAAAGTTGCTAAGTTTGGGGATCCTTGGCGTATTTTCTCTTCGTTTCACGCTCGCCATTTTCCTCTGTCGAAGTATTTCCATTGATAGCTTTAAGGCGTGTGGACTTCAATTCCCCCAAAATATCAAGAGTGAAAAATACTGCTCTGTTGATTGGTGGTGTAGGAATTGTAACGATCACTAGATAACAACAAAGAGATGCAGTAAAGTAATGCTTTGCTGCCAGCCGAGATGTTTTGCATCCAGATATTTGCAACTCACAGAGCCCGAGAATAGTATTGCTGTGCATGTATTTGATTTTTCTAAAAAGGGCACCTTTCAGTTCCTTTAATCGGAGCATAGCAATTACTGCTTAGTTTAATTTTACTCTTCACTGCATACTTAAGGTTTAGCTTCAACAGTACAGTGGTAAAGGAACAATAGTTATATCATAAACTGATACAGAATAATTTTGAAAGAAAAAATTAGGAAAACCTTCATTAACAGGTACAGAGAGAAATTAAAGTAGATGTATTTATGTACAAATCATATTGGAGAAAGAGAATCATCTTTCCACAGTATTTCTCCAAAGTGTAATGACTGCGGTTCCCATTATCCTAGAGCTGATTGTGTACGATGCGACATAAAATATGAGATCTCTGGAAAGTGCCAAATAGAAGCTGGCTCACAGAGCAAACAATAAGGATATTGAAATTTGGCATCAATTTTGGGAGATTAAAACATACATTCAATATGTAATCTACAAAAAAAAAAATGCTGCTCTATTTTGCTTTGTTTCTTTTAAATTTATTACAGAAAAGACCATCACAATTCCTCTCTGAAAGTAAATACACTACAGAGGTTGCAATCTGAGATTCCTTTTGAAATTACAAATCTTTCCCTTCCCACAGCATCTGCTATTTAATTCAAACATGAACTCTGAACATCTTTCCTTGGCTGTCCTGCTAAGTCTTTAAGAGCTTTATGGACCAAATTTTAATAGAAACCACTGTAGCAGCATGTCCATTATCCTAAAGATTCAAAGTGTATCAATAAAATCAAGGAAACAAGGCAATAACCAAATTCCCACACTTCCATGGGAATGAAGAAGTGAGCTAACCATTACCATACTTCCTCCACAATGCCTCCTTCCACTTTTGTTCCAGTTCTCTTCCACTTCTCTGAATCCTAGCAGCCAAAAAATTGTTGCCAGGTCAGGGAAACAGATCCACCGGTATAAGGCCAATATAAATATGGGCAGAACTATTTCCCTTGACTTCATCTTCCCCAGCACCATCACAAAAATGTTGGAAATTGTATGGCAAGGCGTGTTTAGATAACAGAGAAATGTTACTTTAAACTGAAACAGCTTAATCCAAATCTAAGATCTCTTTACAATAGGCTGAGGATGAGATATTCTATACCATTATGAATTTCACCTGGTTTTCTACCTGCCTCCTTATGTGGTCTTTGCTGAGTTGCTTTTAAAGTTCTTTTCTGTCATTTTTTTAAAAAATTAAGTAAACCTTTTATTATAATTATAGCTGTGATTTTGATACTATGACATTTTTTGCTTCAACAATAATTTCTTAAACACTTAAGAAATTTCTTAATGTATTATCATGGGTGTTGAACCAGTTTGTTGAATAAATTGCAATTAGTGTAAACAAATAGGCTAATATATAAATAATTATTTATTTAATATAAATTTCTGTAACATTTTAAGTTACAAAGAAATATGGGATGTTTGAAATTAGATTACAAGTATGTATGCAAATTAATGTTAAGAAATTTCAGGTGTTGGATAAAGGTGGATTTTATCAAAACTAAACTTATTTTAATAAACATTTTCGTAAGATATATTCAGCTATCAATTCTCCTATGGGGAAACTGTTGCAGAGATCTAAGGTATTATAAATAAACTGACCTTGATTTTTTATCTAGGCAAAATTAATACTGTATAGAGATAAAGCAGTTACTTCTCCTTTAAGACACATCCACATTTTCTCTAAACAACTGAACCTGAAAAGACCATATCAAAGGATATAAATTAGACACATAAAAGTACTTGTTGAGTTGTAAAGATTTCACAGGAAGAGCTGAAGAAAGGACAAAGCCAGCAATTACAATGGTTAATACAAAGGATATAACTAAGGTCTCTCTAGCTCAGTTTCTCAGATTTTATAAACAGCCCATAAGTGAAGAACAAGCCTGGGCTATTTGCTTTCACTGTTGTTGTAAAATGAATGACACATTAGCTCAAGGACTGGATTCTGCAGTACAAATGAAGATTCCAGATATTGATGAGCTCTATATTCATTCTGACGGTAGTATATCTTTCACTACCAAACATAACTATGGTAAGAAATTACAATTACTAAAGTTACTCTTTCCACCTACAAGTATGTGTTTCTATAATTTATGTCCCTTAATATTTCAATGTATTATGAGTTACCTTAATATGTTATTTTTAATGCACTTACCTGGAAACAATCCTACTCACCATATGTGATTTGTGAATAAATAATGGGAAATAGAATAAGTCCTAGAATTTAAGATCATTGCAAATGTTTCTTTGTGAGTACAGACTATGAAAATTTAATGTATTTATATCATCTAAATTGATTTATTTTCCTTTCTAAAGATTTCCAAAATCTAATAACATTTAATTGTTAATAGTACTAAAGAAAAATTAATGTATTTATAATAGAGAAAAAATGCTTACTAAATACAAACAACTCCTGTTAATTCAGATTTGAGTATTTGATTTTAATATAATCAAGGCAGCAGTTTGTACCAATAGTTCTACATTCATATTTGTTGATAATGACAAGCTATTGTTTGAAGGATACTACTGAGTTACAGCAGGAGAGATAAAAGTATTTTAAAAACCTTAATTTTCATTTCATTTCTTAAAATGATAGTGTCTGATAATTTTTTCCCTTTTGAAAAATACCTCTAGAAGTTTTATATAGTGTATTAAATCATAGGAACAAATTATACTGGTTATGTTATATAACAACTTTAATAAAACACTGGGGTATGTACTATATGTTGAAACATTGAAAGTCTATCACACTTAAAAGCTAGAAAAATGTATATATTCTGATCATGTATTTATGCTGATTTATAGAAATTATTATAGAAATATACAGTAGTACACCTTCCCATAATAACTAGAGAATATATGCCTATCTGATCTGCTGGCCAAGTAGATTCAACATCTCTGTTCTGAGGTCTGTCTTTAAACTAGACTCTATAAACAGAAGATAGTCCTATAAAATGCGTGACTACCTTCATCCAAGACTTTTTAAAAACATGATAATCCTATATATCAGCCTACTTCAGCCTAAGTTTTCCAGATTTATTTCACTACTATCACGTACCAGCAATATGACCATGAAGGGAGAAAGCAGGCTAAAAAAGGATGCTTCTACAGGAAATAATGAATGATGATATTGTAGTATTTCCTCCCTTCCCCATATGCCATTTGACAAAAGAAAGGTGATTTCCCATGTATCCATAGTGGAATATTTTGATTAACAACTGGGGTTATGATCCACAGAGTGCTTTTCAGCTGTCCTTACTTGACAAGTTTTTTTAAAAAATAACCAGGAGTCAATATATTATCAATATCTTCCAGGGTCACCCTGAATATGCAAATTAAATTTAAACTGAAATTGATTAAAACATTTGTTTCAGATGGTCACATAAATCAACAGCCAAGAGAGATTTTAGAAGATAAGGTAAGATTATGGTGCTTGACACAATTGATGGCATACTCTTGATATTAGCAAAATAAATCTATACATAGTAGTGACTATATTAGGTTTGGCTCTTAGATAGTTCATTTCTCTTGGATGGTATTTCATTCTTGTAACTATGAATTAAAATCTGGAATTTTCATGGACTTATCTTCATTAGTAATGGCCCATGTAGTCTTCTGGCAAAAGACCTAATGGAATAGCTAAAGCTGAGGATATTTCCACATCCATAATGTTTCCACTTCTCTATTTTTATAAAGTTGATGATAATCATTGTTATGTTTATCATCCTCAAATCCAAAAAATACCATCTGATCAGCACCCTATCGATACTTATTACTACTGGTGAATAAAATTCCCTACCCTTCATCCTATGCATCCTTTTACTCTTTTTCTCCCATCATTTTGATCATAAAACATTTTTCAAGAGCCATGGTGCTTAGAATGCAATATTGCAGGCTAACTCTGCCTACTGTTAGGAGTTTGATCCTAACCAGCTCAAGGTTGACTCAGCCTTCCATCATTCCGAGGCTGGTAAAATGAGGACCCTGATCAGTGGTGGAATTCAAAATTTTTTACTACTGGTTCTGTGGGCATTGCTTTAGTGGGCATGACAGGGGAAGGAAGCTGTAAAATCTCCAGTCAAAGGTAGTATTTGCCGGTTGTTCGAACTACTTAAAATTTCCACTACTGGTTCTCCAGAACTGGTCAGAACCTGCTGAATACCACCTCTGACCCAGACTGTTGGGGGAAATATGCTGATTCTGTAAACCACTTATACAGTGCTGTAAAACACTATGAAGTGGCATATAAGTCTAAGTGCTATTGCTACTGCATGCAGCATAGAAGCCTGTTAGTTGGTAGAAGGAAAAACTGTCAAGCAATCATGTTATTATTATTCTGTTGCACTTTAAAAAATAGCAATAGAAACATACATTATTAGAAGAGTGGGAAAGACGCTAAATTGAAACCAGGAGCTGGGAAGTGGAATCAATCAAAAGCTCTTGCCAACTGAAAAACTGACTTGCCACATAGCTTCAGCCTTGAAAAAGAGCTACTTTTGCTTTGATTTCAGATATGTCACAGCAGATTCAGGGAAAAAACTCTTCATTCTCAAGTCTAGCTCATATTTTTATAATTGCACAGATCTAGAACTAATTCTGAATTATCACAAAGTGCTCATGAAGAGGTACATAAGAGTTCAGTCAATGATTTCGTACATAGGTTATCTCAAGACTGGATTATTGTTAACAAGGTATGTAAGGGTCTGTTCTTGAAATGATTTCAGAAGAGGCAGACTGTTCAAGGCAATTCCATTATTTATATTGAACACTTGGGCTAGTGGCACTGTACCTGCTGCTTAATTTTTTTTTGAATATCTTCAGGACATTATTATTGGCTTACAAGACAGCTTGGAAATAGGGACACAAAAAAACTTCCTCCTAGTTTAACCTTAATGTGTGGCTGATGATACTTTTTGGCAATGAACTCTATGGGGATCTCAGTGAAATAGTTTTCTCCCCCAGTTGATATCAGGATATCCCCATGCTCTACAACCTTTTTGTAGTTTTAATATTGCCAGCTGCCTCAAGTTACTGTACTAGTTAATGTTTTATTATTTTAGTTTTGTATTAGTATTTATAATTTTGTTTTAAAACTGCTTTAAGAATGTCTAGACAGATGAAAATCAGTAGCTAAATTATTTTAATGCCAGTCACCCAAGCAGCCATTTGTGTATTGATTTGGACAAAACTGTCCTAGATTTTCAGAATTGACTCAGTATTTCCTTTCTAGTTGACAGAATCATTAGGAAAATTGATCTACAAAGCTCTGGATTGGGGAATCGAGAGTTATATGGAGAGAGAGCTGAGTGAGTCTCTGGCAAAGCTAATAACATTTATGCTCAAACTGAACGCAGAAACCTCCAACAGCACAGTTGCTTTACAGGATGTAATCAAGGTCTTGTATGTTTCACATAATTTATATCTTTAGCCATTTGCTCTAAGTGTCCTTTGGATGAGTAGAACAATGTTACACATTCAGTATAAAGTATGTTTAAGGAAAAACAGTCAAGGAATGAATATCTATGTAAGAAAAATTCCTTCCTTCCCTTCCTTCTTCCTCCCTTAAATATGCTAATCTCCTTTGAATGCATTCAGTTTAAAGTGCAGCTTGGTCACTTAATTAATTGTTTGTTTAACTTTAGCAATTAGTTTAAATAATTAATGGAAAACACTGTTGTAATACTTTTAAATAGTTATTATAGAAGTTCACATTGAAGTATGTACATTTATAATGTAATTAAATACATAAAGGCAATTAATTTTATAAGTCCATTTTAATCCACAATGTTTGGGAAAATAAAAATAAAACACAAAACTGCGCCAATACTAAATCTCATAGAATATTGATTGTTTAGATTTGCTTCACTTGTTTTGTTCACATCCTCTGCATTCAGTGTAGATCTGCTAAACTTGAGTTTTGTTATTTTTAGTGTAGTTCTTGAATAAAGAACTCTGTGTGTGTGTGTTTGTATGTTTGTGTGTGTGTGTGTCTTTGGCCCAGAATTCCTACTGATTTGATAGTCTGCTACATCTGCAGAGCAGCAAGTTGGAGATGTAGAGTCCTTGGTGCTTGCTGACTTTGGTTGGTTGCTTGTACATGTTTCATTACCTGATCAGGTAACATCCATGATGATAATGAGCATTTATTTTGCTTTTGGTTTATAAATAGCTTACCCTGATCAATAGACTTATAGTGATTGTTCTGGACTAGCAGGCTCGTAGCCTGCAAATCTGATTGGCCTGCTGAAAGCCGATCGTGATTGGTCGCCATAGACTGATGCGATTGGCCAGTAAACAGGCTGCCGCGATTGGCCCTGCCAAGAGTGGCAAACTCAAATCGCCTTCATTGGCTGCCTAGCCGCAGCCAGCCCTATATAAGGTGCTGCTGCGGCTGGGGTTAGTTGCTCAGATCTGAAGTCACAAATAAAGAGCTTTAGTTACTACCTGAGTCTTGCCTCCGTTCTTGAACCGTCCTCCCAGATATAACACTGGCGACGAGGATGGGATGCGGAGGCAACAGAAGCTATTAAATTGAGCTAGCTGAAGGAGCACGTGGCTGACAGAGCGCAACAACGGCGACATGGCCAGCAGCGCTATACCACCCGCACCATTCGATCCAGCTAGCGAAGATTGGGACTCATACATGGACAGATTTCAAATGTTCCTGGAGTCCAACAACCTCAAAGATGCCACGCCCAGCAAAAAACGAGCCATTTTTCTAACCCATTGTGGACCAGCCGTTTTTAAGATGGCTAAAGCCTTAGCCAAGCCAGCTGAAGTTAAAACCATGTATTGGGACACCCTTGCTCCCATCCTGCACAACCATTACGCCCCAGCCGTGCCAACTCTCATTCACAGGCATGAGTTCTACCAGAGGGACCAACGTGAAGGTGAGAGCATTGGGGATTTTGTGGCAGACCTGAGGAACCTGGGTGGTTTGTGTGGCTTCGCCAACCTCGAAGAAGCCATGAGAGATCGCATTGTCCTTGGCCTCAGAGACCCAACCGTCCAGAGCAAGATCATGGCCAAGGGAGACATCTCACTTGCAGATGCCATAGCAGCCGAAGCCACTCGTAAATCGGCAGCACGAATGCGTCGAACCAGCGGGACCAACCGCCAACCGACCAACGATGCTGGGAAACCTTCAGACAAGTACACATCAACCACCCATCACGAAGACGTCGAGTCATCCTCAGACAGCGAGGAAGAAGAAGTCCACAGGCTCTGGTCAGAACATGAGCAACGGGACCAGCGGAGTCGCAAAGCCAACTACCAATGCGCCAGATGTGGGGGAAACCATCCCCGATTCCAATGCAGATTCTTAGATGCCATATGCCGTTTTTGCGAGAAACGGGGACACATCGTGAAGGTATGCAGAAACAAGAGAAATTCCAGCCCCAGACGGAGAGGGAGCAGCCCAAAGAGAAATGATGGCAACACCACCACGCAGAGGGACCGCCTTAGCAACCAGTGGAACCGGTACAGCAGACCCCGAAGGTTTAACAACGCCACCAGACGAGAGAAGGCTCATCAAACCATCACCATCGGCCACGCTTCATCACTTGACGCTAAAAAGATCCGAGTAGAGGTCACGATTGAAAACAAACCGTGCAACATGAAGTCGACTCTGGGTCATCACTATCCATGGTATCCTGGAGAACACTCAAGCAGCTAGTCCCCAACATCCGACGCCAAGACCTCAGCAGTCAGAGACTCATACTGAAAGACTATCAAGGCAACCAGATTCCAGTCGCAGGTACCCGCCATGTGCAGGTCTCGTTCAAGGGACATAAGGCAATTCTACCACTCACCGTCGTAGACCGAGACCAGCCAAGTCTATTGGGTCTTCAGTGGTTCGCGCCATTAGGAATCGGAGTGGCTGGCATCCATCATACTGAAGACAATGACTGGGAGGCGGCTCTCATTCATGACTTCCGAGAAGTGTTCAACGAAAGCCTAGGCAAGTACAAGGGGTCCCCTATTTCATTTAATCTTCGCCCCGACATAGCACCCATTCGTCTAAAGCCACGCCAAGTTCCCTTTGCTCTTAAATCCAAAATTGACGAGCAACTGGACAAATTAATTGCGCAAGGCGTGTTAGAACCTATTGACCACGCCCGATGGGAGACACCAATCGTCACCCCCATAAAACCTGACGGGTCCATAAGAATCTGCAGTGACTACAAGGCCACCCTCAATCACGCGCTACAGCAGAGCGCCTACCCAGTGCCAGTTGTTCAACATCTCCTGCATTCACTTGGGGGTGGCAAAATATTCGCAAAATTAGATCTGTCCCAAGCGTATCAACAGCTACCAGTTGATCCCGAGACTGCAGAAGCCCAAACTATAGTCACACATCGTGGTGCATTCAAATGCAACAGGCTCCAGTTTGGTGTAAGCGTAGCCCCAGGCATCTTTCAAAGCCTGATGGAGAGACTATTACAAGGGATAAAAGGGGTTGTGCCCTATTTTGATGACGTATTAATAGCAGCACCCACAAAAAACCAATTAGAAAAACGTCTCAGAACAGTCCTGCAGAGGTTCAAAAATGCTGGCCTCATGGTTAAGAAGGAAAAGTGCCAGCTTTGCACAGAAAGGGTGGAGTTTCTTGGCTACCTCCTTGACAAGCAAGGAATCCACCCCACAGAAAAAAAATTGGCAGCTATCAAAAACGCCCCAAGACCCAAAAACAAAACCGACCTCCAAGCCTTCCTGGGACTTATTAACTTTTATAATATCTTTCTACGCCAGAAGGCGACTGTTGCTGAGCCCCTTCATAGACTACTCGATAAAAGGGCATCCTGGAATTGGGGACGTCGGGAGGAACACGCCTTCCAGCAAGTAAAAGACCTCCTTACCTCAAAGGCAGTACTAATTCAGTATAACGAGACACTACCTTTGACTGTCATGTGTGACGCCTCACCATTTGGGGTGGGGGCCATCCTGAGCCACGTCCTACCAAATGGCTCAGAAGCACCAATTGCATTTTTTTCACGAACTCTATCAAAAACAGAAAGAAACTATAGCCAATTAGATAAGGAAGCCCTTGCTATTGTCTCTGCAATAAAACAATTTCATGAATATGTTTATGGGAGACCGTTTTCTATTATAACGGATCATAAGCCACTACTTGGGATCCTGGCGGGCGACAAACCTACTCTCTCCCAGAATGACGCGATGGTCGGAATTTCTTGCTGCCTACGACTATCAATTAAAGTACCGCCCGGGGAAATCTATTCCCCACGCAGATGCCCTGAGCCGCTCACCGCTACCCGAGCCACAGGAAGACCCAGCTCCCACACTCCCCGTACTGCAAATAGAGACAATGCCATCGCCTCCACTAACGGCTCAAGACATCGCTTTTGAAACCAAAAGAGACTCTTGTTTGGCACGAGTTCTTGGCTGGGTGGAGAGGGGATGGCCAGATTACGACACTAAGGAAATGTTTAAGCCGTTTAAAAACAGACAAACGGAACTTTTTTCACAAAAAGGGTGCATTTTGTGGGGAGACCGAGTTGTTGTACCAACTAAGTTACAAAAAAGGGTCTTGCAAATGCTACACAATGGACACCCGGGCATCGTACGTATGAAAGCGCTGGCAAGAAGTTATGCCTGGTGGCCAGGTATAGACAAACAAATCGAAACCTGGGTCGCCTCTTGTAACAAATGCCAGGAAAACCACTCAGCTCCACCTAAAGCCCCACCAACAGAATGGGAAACACCCAGGGGTCCTTGGTCTCGCATTCATATTGACTTTGCAGGACCTACGAGAGGCCACACCTTCTTAATAACTGTTGATGCCTACTCAAACTGGCTTGAGGTCAATAAAATGAAAGCAACCACTACTGAGGCGGTCATTAAAAAACTGAACAGACTCTTCGCCACACACGGGTTACCAGATGTCCTGGTCTCTGACAATGGGCCCCAATTTACTGCCTTAGCCTTTGAACAGTATTTAGCGGAACGGGGCATCCGACACGCACTCACATCGCCGGCTCATCCTGTGGCGAATGGCCGGGCTGAACGAATGGTTCAGTTTACGAAAAAAAACCTACAGAAAATGGATCAAGGCAACATCCACGACAAAGTCACTAGAATGCTGCTCCTACAACACATCACACCAAACAGCACGACCAACAAGTGCCCAGCTGAACTCCTGATGGCCAGGAAACTCAGATCGCCTCTAGATCGTTTGCACCCTGCCTACACCCCGGAAAAGCCCCTGGGTTCCAGCAGCAAGCACCGTGTTTTCAAGGTAGGAGACCTTGTTTTCGCAAAAAAATTTTCTGGGGATCCCCTTTGGATTCCTGCCCAGGTAACTCAAGTTACGGGCCCCCGCTCCTACCGTCTACTCACCACTGATGACAGACCATGGAAACGCCATATTGACCAACTGCGCTCCAGACTAACCACATCTTCCAACCCTGACCCTAACTTTGACACTAGGGGGGGAGGGGAAGCAGTGAACTCAGAATTAGAACCAACACCTGTTTATTCTGAACTATCACCGAGATCACCGCACCATGGTTGGCAACACTCACCAGCTGCAACTGAGACTGGACAGTCGAACGCTTCGCCAGGAAGCAGCAACCAGGCAGGTTCAGCGAGCCCCGGGAGCCATGACGGTAACAGCGAGGCTGAGGACTTCATCACCCCGGGGGCACCAGAGGAGAGCCCTAATCATGACACCGGTTCACCGTTCCTGTTTGATCCAGCAAGCAGTCCATCTGAACCCAGGTTTGAACAGGGTCAAGCGGAACTGCGTAAGACAGGCAGACAGGTGCGAAGACCTGCTTACCTGCGAGACTATATTACTCCACCCCTTAAATGGAACCGAGAGGAGAGGGGTGTTCCAGACTAGCAGGCTCGTAGCCTGCAAATCCGATTGGCCCGCTGAAAGCCGATCGTGATTGGTCGCCATAGACTGATGCGATTGGCCAGTAAACGGGCTGCCGCGATTGGCCCTGCCAAGAGCAGCAAACTCAAATCGCCTTCATTGGCTGCCTAGCCGCAGCCAGCCCTATATAAGGGGCTGCTGCGGCTGGGGTTAGTTGCTCAGATCTGAAGTCACAAATAAAGAGCTTTAGTTACTATCTGAGTCTTGCCTCCGTTCTTGAACCGTCCTCCCAGATATAACAGTGATAAAGAGCATTTATATGCTATTCAAAAAAGACAACAAAAAAGCTAAGAGAGAAACAAAAAGACTAGAACACATCTTCTGCAGCAAATATTACTCATATAAGAATAGATTAAAAACAGAAAAAAATAATCAAGGAATTATCAAAGAGAAAACTGTACCCCAACAGCACTGACACGGCAAGCTACTATATATAAACAGGAAGCAAACTCCAAACTTCCTAGCATTGATGAAGTAACCTAGCTGGGTAATAATTTCTACCTGAGCTACATATATTCTCTTCTGTTGGAAACTGAAGATGGTTGCTTTTTAAATTGTCATCTTATGTCATGCAAGTTATCGCTTAAATGCTAAACCAATGTAAAATGGATCTGTGGTCCAAGTTTATGTTTTCCTATGAAACTACAGTAATTATTCAACAACAAGTATTTAGTGATTTCGCCTTCTATTTAGGAAATATCTAAGATACACCATATAAGTTGCATTTATTAAAATTTAGTTTTATGTAAAATCATATTTATCACTTGATCTGACCCTTTATTTATTTGATTTGGTTCTGCCTATGTTTTAGAGGACTTTCGCAGTGCACTATCCAAAGCAAGAGTGCCTCTTGATATGAATTCAGTTTCTTTATTTGCTCTTTTTATGCTAGTTTTGAAAGCTAACAGACAAGATAGTCCGATAGTTTGCAGTGTCTAATATCTTCTTTTCTTCTAGAATATATTGGCTAATATGTTCACTTTTCTTTTTTCTGTATCTCTTATAGAATTTTATTAAAGTGAAAGTTATATTATAGGGAGGTCTCAAACAGGTTTATATGCTGAGTAACATTCAAAAGCTGCTATGCTCCATAGTTGCCAAAATGCATTTCTAACTTCTAATGCTTTCTAATCTATTATTAAAAGCTGTTCCCTGAGTAGAAAGAAGTTCAGAGGAAATGGAGCAGGATTTGCACATCAGGTTTATCAATTCAGTAGTTAGTTTAATCAATTTAATTGAATATGTGTCCAGAACTGATTACTGTTTGTCCATTTTAGATCTGTGAGGATCACTTTCACAAACCATCAGAAGCTGCCAGTCATTATACAACCATCTGCCAAATGCTGTTCTCTGAGTACATTGAGCTTCAGAAACTTACGTTAACCATACAGAGTTGCAAAGAGGTATTTGGGAGATGAGAGAACATAGTAGCTAAATCTTTCTTTGTCACTACTTCAGTATCTTTATCACATCATAATTTTTCTTTTGAAATTGGAGGAAAAATGTGCTGAAGTTTGGAAAGGAAATTGAAGGGTTATGCTGAGCAAATAAATAATTCTTTTTAATGTATTTCAGTATTTGGGAAGAATGGATGTGGAAGACTGTTCTGCCAGACAGAAGACAAACAATTCGGTAGGAACAATCTACTTTGTTATTTTCAATATCAGGTTTCTTTTTTAAAAAAATAGTAATTGTATTAAAAATTACAATTCAAAAGGTAAAAATTAATATGAATTGAAATGAATAAAAAATTGCAGATATGAAAAATAGAAGAAAAAAGTATATAGTAAAGAAAAAGAAAAGAAATATAACTGTGTCACAAGTATAATTTTTTAAAATAATTTATCACTTTATAAAATACAACAAATAACCCATCTACTATCAAAAAACAAATCCATAAAACCTCATTGTTCAGCTCTGATCACCAAAAGTTGATTAACAGATAGCAACACATATGTTTTATCTTTGATCAAATAAACCAATTTTTTATTCCTTCCTTTTACTTTTAACAATCTTGATCCCTTAGCATATTATAGCAGTGGAAATTTGGAATATTATAAGCTGGTCTGTACAACAACAACATTTTTTAAAATAATGCACTAGTGATATTTTAGCAATCATACAATATGATACACCTGCAGGCTAATATGAAGCCTTCAGAGTCAGCTTCCCCATTCAAGATGGTTTGTGGTAGGATGTATTTGGTTATTTACAGAAAAGCATGAGACTACAGAAGGTTATGGGGCAAACTCTGCACAGCATTCCTCCAGGAGAAGGTATCCTTTCATCCTACAGTATGGTGGTAGATGATATCAAAAACAAACGCTACAGCCTCCATGCAGTAAGTATTGGGTCATATCAGATTTAGCTTTTATTGTGTATATGTGAGACGTACATGTGAGACTCTCTCATTTGTGAGACATTTTCTATCAGTATGATGAGGATTGAAGAGGCTCCAGGCAGGTTGATCCCTGGGACTATCACCCCATGTGCAAGTCTTTCCATCTTCAATTTTACTAACTTCTTTGGCTGACTATGTTCTCTCTCTGTCTACTTTTCCTGTCACGTGAGAGAGTGATTTTCTTTCCTTTTTAAAGAAATCAATGGGTTTGGCAATCTTTTGAGCTGCAAGGCCCTAGATTCCTGCCATCTTTCATTTATAACCCACTGTATTTGCTAGGTTTCAGTATGGAAATTGAAAGAGAAGACCAGTCAAGAGTTCAGCCTGCATGAGAAGCTTATGATGGAAGTGAAAAATCCACCTAAACTTCGACCAATCTTTGAACAGAAAAGTAGCAACAATTATAAGGGTATGTTCAAGACATTCTTGATAATGTAGATGTCTTGGAATTTTTACTGTGTACTGTACAAATTTGAAGGAATAAAAAAATCAGTTTTCTTTAAAGGTAGATTTGGTTGTAATGACACGACTTTTCTGTCATTTAGCATGGGTTACTAGATTAGAGCTTCAGAGACTTTCAGCAGACTTAAGCTGTTGAACTTTGTTTCCAGTCAGTGCATAAACTTAAAAAATCTCTTTCTTTGGTTTAGCCATAGTCATATTTATGATTATTCTGATTGATGGACACCTCTTTTCTTACCATCCTGGGAAATAGCACCATTTCAATATTTTTCTTCTTACTTGGGCTAAAAGGAGAAAGTGGCAGTATTCCAGTCATTTTCAGCTGTTCCTTTGTTTTTGTTTTAAAAAAGCAAAGAGAATTCCCTCCTCTGTTAATAAACTTATTTTTAAGATCTACATTGTAATTGTTACCCCAGTAAATGTGTAAAAAAATCTATCATTTTGCTTTTTCATCAATAAACTTTTATTTTATAATCAAAATTATGGGCAGAAATCCCAGCATATCCCATGCGTATTCAATGGAACATTTCTATGTTTTTCTCTATCTTTCTACTCTTGGCTAAAACCTTTGTTTTCAAGATATATTATAGCTAGTATATGCAAATATTGTTGATGAAGGTTCTAATATAATGCTCTGGTATAAAACAAGGATGATGCTTGCTAGATCCTCACATGAATTTGGTCTATATAAACAAATGCCTTAAAATGGAATCAGATTTTAAAAGAAGCTTGTAGAACTTTTAATCCAATACTCTGTTCAATGCAAAAATCCAACGTAAAATATTTCCAATAGATGACTGTACAGCCTGTGTTGAAACACATACAATGAAAAGAAATTTGGTAATTGGTACCATATTCAAATTGCTTTCCTATGTTCAACCAGGATATATAATTAAATTGATATGCTTTAGGACCTTAATTCTATGTTCTGGACTCTGGAATAATAGAGATTAAGTCATGGTTATCTTCTGCATAACACCCCTTCAGGAATTATTGCTGTTATTACCAGGCTATATTTGTATTATACCTGTACATTTTATTTCTTTTTCTTAACCCATTTGGATTATTATGTCTTAATCCATATGGAATCCTGGAAGAAGCATAAGAGGTTCTTAAATAACAGAAATGAAATGAAATATTTGAACCAGACATATTGTACATCATTACTTCATATATTCTCTGCTGTATGTAATGAGAACTAACTGCAAGTATTTTATCATGTCTGAAGAAAGTCAAAATGGCTTAAAATTTCTATTTACATTTTTGATTCTGTGTTGTTGTTTTTCTACAGGAGATACTCAGAAGTTCGTCTTGAATTCTCCATGTAATAGTATCATCTCTGAACAAAACATCAGCATTAACTTCTCAAAAGCTAAAAAAACACAACTGAGCTGCACTCACTCAGATTTGGAACTAAAAACAAAACTAGGAAAATTATGTGAGGATGGTGGATCAGAAACAAAGGCAAGAACAAATGTCACTTATCTGTTATTTTTCAACATGCATTCATTGATCTAAATCTTCATATTGAAAGGGTGGACAAACATCTAGTGGTTTTGGGGAATTATTGCTGCTGCTGCTCCTCTTTTTTGGATTTGGCTCTGAAGCTACACAAAACGCTACAATGCATTGTATCTTCCCTATGTGCACATAATTAAAGATGTGCAGTCCTTGGAATTTAAATCTAAATAGAATATATTAACATACAATTACCTTAACAGTTATTCATTTAGTATATTATAAAATAGATAGCCAATATGGTCTAGTGGTTATGGTCAGAAACCAAAAGACTGTGAGCCTTAGCCATGAAAGCCAGTTGGGTGTCTTTGGGCCAGTCATTCTCTCTCAGCTCAGTCCACCTCACAGGGTTGTTGTGAAAACTAGGAGGAGGAAGAAATATTAGAAGAACCGTGGTGGCACAGTAGTTAGAATGCAATATTGCAGGCTAACTCTGCCCATTGTCAGGAGTTAGATCCTGACTGAGTCAAGGTTAACTCAGCCTTCCATCTTTCCAAGGTCGGTAAAATGAGGACCCAAATTCTTGGGGGCAATATGCTACTCTATAAGCCATGTAGAGACTGCTGTGAAGCACTGTGAAGTGGTATATAACTCTTAAGTGATGAGCCATGGTGGCACAGCAGTTAGAGTGTAGCACTGAAAGCTACTTCTGCTGATTGCTGGCTGCCTGCAATTTGGCAGTTCAAATCTCACCATGCTCAAGGTTGACTCAGGTTTCCATACTTCTGAGGTGGGTAAAATGAGGACCCAGATTGTTGGAGGCAATATGCTGACTCTGTAAACTGCTAGAGAGAGCTGTAAAGCACTGTGAAGCAGTATATAAGTCTAGGTGCTATTGCTATTAGGTATGTTCGCTGTCTTGATTTATAAAAACTAATAAAGGCAGGATATAAATAAATACATAAAATTTTCTCTATTTGGAAATAAATATATAAAAGTTATATAACTTCCTGAGTTTATAAAATATGGCTGTAGCTGGTTTGCAGTGGTTTGTATAAATTTCCTATTTTTGAGCTATTCATGTCAAACTAAAAACTCTTCATTAACTACTAAGTTTAACTCTAAATTCCAGAGGATTTGGTTTTATTACAAATTTATCATGAAGAGCAATTTCTGAGTGTCTTCATTTGATTTATAGTTGTTACCTACTTACAATCAGACATGTTCAAGATGGTCATTACCAAGCATTGTAAATTTGATGGGAACAAGATGTTTAGAAGTAAAAGGCTCCTGCCAAAGAGAAACAAGCAATCTTCCTTCAAGGGCTGAGGTAATTTCCTAATAAGAGGATTGGTTAGTTGGTTGCTTTGTTAATATTTATTAAAAACAGAGATGAGTATTCATATAGCTAAATGTTTATAATTAAGCTTGTTTTTGCAACACTGGCCTATCTAGTTAACTTTGTTCTCCTAAACTAATCCTTCTGCCAATAGATTAGGGTTGAAGAATGTGTGGATTATAGGCTGTCTCCACCTCTCCTTTTTTGTAGAACCCTGAAGCTTCTTTCCTATGATTGCTTACCATTTACTTCCCCCGATAACAAGTAGATAAGTTTAATGTGCCCCATTTTATTAAAAAAAAACCATCCACCATCTCAGAAGAGAGGAAAATGAGATAAAAAGTTCATTCCCTTATTATCAAATTTTGTTTTTAGGAACTCCTATTAATGTTTTTATATTGCATACAGGGTTTTCATTCAGATTAAGCATACAAAATAATGTCAGTATACCTGACTGAACTATTTTGAAGAAGGAAATTAGTCTAGCATAGGAGGGTTTGTTTGTATTTTTCCTCATTTTACATTTGTGTGTAGAGAAAGCTTCCATAATGCAAAGCTATTCTCAGTCTTTTCAGTGATTAGAAGGGATGGTTTATATAGCTATAAATTGACTGCAGAAACTGTAGCCCATATTTTAATCTCCAAACATTCTTCATTCTTTGTGTGAGTGTTATTACTTGCATTGATTTTTATCATATTATAAAAAGAAATTGGAACATTTGTCACAACTTTCCATCTACAGCTTTGTTTTGTTTGTCACAACCAATTCTTTATATGGCCCTATGTATGTCATCTCTGCACTAGGTAAGTAAACAGAGCCTTTTTATAATTTATATATTTTTTATAATTTATAATTAAATTACTGTGCAAGAGAAAAACACTCCTTTTTACCTATAATTTGTATGGTTAAGTTTTTTGGGGGGAAAGTCAAATGCCTATGTTATCTTGGGTAGTAGCTTTTAAATGTATTTCTTCTCGTATCTTTCATTATTATTTATTAGGGCTCTTAAATGCTTTGGATTTGAGGGATTTGAAGTACTGCAGAATGTGCAGTGGTGCAAAAGCAACCTCTGCTTCCAACTCATTAAAGTAGCTATGTCATTTTCCAGGATTGCAAGGCTGCTGAAAAGAAGCTTCCAATCTTGGCAAATGAGCAACTATATAAACAGGTGCTATATTTATGTTCCCATACATTCTACTACTCCTGTATCTGAAACAGGATACAGCTCTATCATTTATTAGGGCTATGCAAAGCATTTAAAATAACTGGGGAAAACTTTACAACACTTGCCTGAGCTTTTCAAAGGATATGACAGTTTTAATCTTTCAAGAGTGTCTCCCCTGCAATAATACATTTTAAGAAGCACCCTTTCAAATTCTTTGTGTCGCCCTACTATATATTGATATGTTTGCTGTTTTAAATGTTCAATTTTCTAATTTACTTAGAGTTATTTATTTTGCGTATGGCATTTTATACACTGACTAGCAATATATATTAATATTTCATCTAGATTATTAAAACACAATAAAGTATAAATGTTCAAAATGTCTAGGTTCAAATACCAATATTTAGGCCATCTAACCATTGAAGCATCATTTATATTAAAGAAATCAGATACTGGACCAGTATATGCCCTCAATTTACAGCTGGTCATGATATGATCCAGTTTGACATTGGACCTTGCAGTCATACTGAGGGGAGGATACTACGGCCCATTTATACAGAGAGTCCCAGCAGACACCGTGTGAGGTGTGAATCCTATTCAGGATTGTCCATTGCTGATGTGATAGTTCAAAGCTTAGCATTTTTGTGCGGGGTAACTTATAATGTTTCCCTATATTTGGGCATTTAGCATTGTCTGCAATGGGGAATCAAAGTTGTTGGGTACATGTTCTGCAAATACCAGTGGGGGTTTCCTAGATTTGAATCTTCCGGCTGATGAATGAGGAAAGTAGAAATGTAGGAGTGAGTTGTTCATAGTTCACCTAGAAAACTCTATTAGAAGAATGAAAAGATATTAAACAGAGTTCATATTCTGTGAATTGATTCAGGACTGTCAGCTTGCCAGCAACACAGAATTTGTAGTGAAACATATTATTTCTTCTTTTAGACCAGGAGTGTCAAATTCAAGGCCTGCAGGCCAAAACCGGCCCGCGAGATGCTTAAATCTGGCCTGTGCGGCCAGGCTAAAAATAGCAAAAGGACCAGCCCATGGTGCCTCTGGCAGGCAAAATGGGACATGGGGGGCGTGCGCACCCTATTTTCAGCCTGGAAGGCCTCCTGCAGCACACTGCCAGCCAAAACAGTTGGCTCGTTTTGGCCGGCAAAGTGTGGCATGAGGCTGTCCAGGTTGAAAACAGGGCTGAGGGAGGCCTCATGTGCCCCCCCCCAGCCCCGTTTTGGCTATCAGTATGCTGCAGGAGGCCATCCAGGCTGAAAATGGGGCATGGGGGGAGGCTTACATGGCCCCCTTGTCCTGTTTTAGCTGGCAGGGTGCTACAGGAGCCGTCCGTCTTGTGTCCCCTCTACTCCCCAGCTGGCCCACGGAGGAGAACTACAATGCTGATCCGGTCCTCAAAGAAATCCAGTTTAACACCCCTGCCTTAGACATTCTTCTGAATATGCAGTAGAGTTCAGGAAGCCTCTCTGAAATGGATTTGAGAAATGAGAGGGGGGGGAGGAGCAAACTTCCATTACTGTAATGGAAAATAACAAAGGCAACTTTAAGATGTGTGGTCATCCAAAAGTTCTATCAATGGTGTTTCCATCCCAAATCTGAGCCTGAAACCTAACTAGAAAAGGTCTAGATAATTTGCCTTATTCACGATCCTCTGGAGGTGCAATGTAGCCACTTTCTCAACCACCATCCCTAAAAAGGAAGATGAGAGGCTGCACTAAAGTTATCCAGAGCAGTAGGGTCCAGCAAGAGCTTCTTGAGGAGGGAGTGTAGCAACACCTCTTTAAATGGTTCTGGGAACACTTTCTCTCTCAAGAATGAATTAACTGTCACTAGGACCCACTCACATTTCATCTTTCAGGTGAACTTGACCAAGGTCACTCATGCAATCCCAAAGAACATGTCCACTTCCTCAGGGCCCACAAGATCAAACCATTCCAAAGTAAGAGACTTCCCCAAGGTTCCCCAATGGATCTGCCCCATGTTTGGTCTTCATCTGAGAATGGATGTGAGCAATTTTATCCCACAGGTGTGTTGAAAATGTCTCAGCATGAGTGGTGGTGTTCTACCAGTTCAGCCCGGTTTGTGTGAACCGGTAGTAAAAAAAATGCTACTGTTCAGCTGCCGGTTCAACTGAACCGATATTCCCCCCCCCCCGGATGATCAGCTGTTCTGATGATCACTTGGGCTGGGATTCCCCTCTCTGTCTTACTGCTTCACCCAGGAGGCTTCTCTGAGGCCCAGGAGGTAAAAAGAGGCATGCGGAGGGGCGCTGCACCCCCCCTCCGGCGCTCTGTTTTTTGCCTCCTGGCCTCAGGAAACCTCCCTGAAGCAAAAACAGGCTCCCAGGAAGCTTTTCTGAGGCCCAGGAGGCAAAAAAGCAGAGCATGGGGAGGGGTGGTGATGAAAAAAAGCCACATCCACCCAGTCACATGGCCATGCCCAACTAGCCACTCCCACCTAACCACGTCCTCAGAACCGGTAGTGAAAATATTTGCATCCCACCTCTGCTCAGCATGGCCCTGAAGATGAACTTCAGAGTCCCTTTACCAAAAAAAGGTATGGAGTAGTAGCCCTAAACAGAGCTGTCAGGCAGCACTCTGCCTATGCAATAAGAGCAGAGAAATATTTACCATGGCTGTGCTCACTTCAGATTTTATTCCACAAGCGGGAGAATTTGGAAAGCATCAAAGTACAGGTAGTCCTTGACTTACAACAGTTCATTTAGTGACTGTTCAAAGTTACAATAACACTGAAAAAGTGAGTTATGACCATTTTTCACACTCATGACCTTTGACCTTCCCCGTGATCATGTGACCAAAATTCAGATGCTTGGCAACTGGTTAATACTTATGACTGTTGCTGTGTCCCAAGGTCATGTGACCATCTTAGGCAACCTTTTAGTAAGCAAAATCAATGGGGAAGCCAGGTGCTTAACAACCATGTTACTAACTTATCAGCTGCAGTGATTCATGTAAGAACTGTTGCAAGAATAGCCATAAAATGGGCAAAACTCATTTAACAAATGTCTCACTTAACAACGGAAATTTTGGGCTCAATTGTGGTTGTAAGTCAGGGACTATCTGTACGCTCCCAGCCTCAATTTGCAACCCTAAATTAACCAAGACTTTAGAAAAGAAAAGTCCTGGCTATTTTTCCAAAACAGCATGGTTGTCTTCTGTTATGAAATCTGAAGATTCCTCAACTGAGCAGCGATTGGATTCTGTGCTCCAAATCAGGACATCAGTGCCCTTCAACTGATTGGCAGATTCCGGGAATTGACATTCACACATTTGAAAGTTGTCAAGTTTGAAAAACACTGCCTAAATGGTGCTTTCCAAACCTATTTGATTATTCTATTTCCCAGAAAATTTGACAGTTGTTTCAAAGCCAGAAAATAATTGTTTACCACTGCAATAGCAAATACTATTTTTATTGTTTGGTTTCCCCCCAGATGAGACGAGATTTTCATTCCCAAGCACATGCTGACTAAATTCAGAATTAATTGCAGTAAAGCATTTCATAAAAAAACTTTGCAGTTGTGGTATTTGGGATCTTTTCTTTGTGGGAAAGCCTGCAATTGATCATGCAGGCATAAGGAAAAAATAACAAGCCAATTTCTCAGTCCTGCAACTCATTTTGTACCTTATGGTTGTGGTTTATTTTGTAACTCCTTTGTTATTTTTTTCCTTTTATTCGGGTTCTTTTTATTTTTATTTTTGTTCAATTCCTTTATTATTTTTCTTTGTATTCAATTCCCTTGTTATTTCATTTTATTTGATTGCTATTGCTATAATTGAGATATTGCCTTTTAATTTTAGTGTGATCTGCAAAGATTGCTGCATCAAAGTGAGTTATTTTCTTTTTCATTAATTCTAATAAAACATTTTGTAAATTTAACCCATATTTACAAAGTTTTGTTTAGGAGCCATCAAGCAATTAATGTGTAAGACATTTATTAAATTGCTTGATGGTACTTTGTATCTGATGTTGCATTGTCCTATTTAATAGCATGCAGCTTCATTTTTTATTTAATATTAACAGTGAATGCCATTTTAATTTATTTTACTAACTGATTTAAAGGATCGATGGACCAATTATCCCAATATAGTATTTTTCTCTAGATGTCTATGCCAGTCAGACCTTGTGTACGCCTTCCGCTTCACTTCTTTAAAATGATACACCTGGGCAAAGAAGATGATCAGGGCCTGCACAACCAAAAAACTGCACAGCTTGAAGTAGAACAGTGGGATTCATCAAGGTGAGAGTTTACCATGAAACTAAATTAATAATGCAGACATTCTCTTCTCTGTCTTGCCAATTCCCCCATCTTACTAGTCCATAATAAACTTGTATTGATAAGATGATGCTTATATGCTGAGAAAATAGCTTCCACATTCCATGACTCATAAATGAGAAAATTATGGTATTGGCTAATTTTTTATCTCTATAGTAGATAATATTATTTATTATCTATTATTTATTATCTATTTATCTATTAATTTCTAATAGAAACTAAACTACTGTGGCAGCCGCCCTGTTACATTGCAATCTTCCTGCCTTGACTTGATGGAGGCCATCTCAGGGTTCCCAGTGGAATTCCCCAGGCTTCTTGTCCTGGAGAACCTTTATCTGCCATCCCAGGGCTTGACCTTCACACTTAAAATGGCCTTCTGTGCAAGAACATAGCACAGAACCTTATAAAAGAATCACATACTTCGAGACCATTATGAAGTATGTATCCATGTTTCTCTTTGTAACAGAAATTCTATCTGGTAGCATGAAAAAGTACTATTGTACATACTTAAAGATCCAATGGAATATTTTAAATATGATTTTATATTATCTTAAACCATGGCCTGTGTTTGTTGAATAAGCCATAATGGCCTGGTTTAGACATTATGCTATGCTATAAACTATGCCCATATAGCATCTCCGAAAGCGTCCAGAGACTCTCCAAAAGTTGACATCAAATAGTAATTTTAACGAGGCAGGAAAAAGAAATGTGATGTTTGCCCACTATCACTTATTTGTTTGCTGCTACTTTTTTGCATGTCCTAAAAAATTGAAGGTTTTGTGCTCTACCATGAACCCTACTTTACAGCTATAGTGGATGAGTTCACAAATTGTGCTAAGTCTAAGCCAAACTAACTTATAATTTAGTGTGATATGTGAAGACAGTAGCTTTTAGTTCATATAATGTTGCAAATATACTGCAAAGTAAAAAATTCTTTAGCTTTGTTCTTGTTTTCCAAATTAGATTTTCCATTTCTAAAATTAAACATTTAAACATATATAATAATGATTTGGAAGAAATGTTTTGGACATCCTGTAAGCATGCAGTACTTCTCTCTTTTTTCAGACATGTGTGGAAGCTCTGCCTATTTGAATGAAGAGAAGAAAGTTAGCCTGCACTCACATGCACTCACACATTTCTTCAAAAACATTTTTAAGTGTGTACCCTTACTAGGTGTTCAAAACATATAAAGGTATGAAAGAGGCATATTTGAAAATAATCTGAATTCTTCTCATGACTTCCAGAATACCTCTTGTGTTTGAACCCCATTGCTTAACACCACCCTTTGCCTGCCGCATAAAAAGTATGAGGGATTGGCCTTCTGTGGACATCTGTATCAAATGTGAGCAATACCTTCTGGAGATGCTGTCCCATCATTCTCCTTGCAGAAAAAGACGCCTGTCATGGACTGAATTGGAATAATGTTTTTTACTGCTGTATAAAATTAAACAAATGTAAACCAGTGATCTTACAGACTTAAACAAATTGATCCTTATTATTTTTTTCCCCTCTCTTCTCACCTAACAGGACAAATTCTATTTAACCTGATCTGGAAAACTATACTTATTAAAAAAAAAAAACTTCATATACATCTTTGATCTTCTTACTTGTAATCAATAAATACTTTCAAAAGCCATGCTTTAAGTCTTTTGTCACAATTTAAATCTATATATTTAATGTTAAACCTTGCAACTATACACTTAAACTAAGGAACTTTCATCAAGAAAGGATATAGAAGATTATAGTGTAGTTAAATGTACAATGTCTCTTCGCCTTTCCTCATTTGTTTGGCTAAGAGCCTCCAAAATTAAGTAAACTTGTTTTATCTGAATGTATTGATTGACTTTAAATATGTTACTGTTAAGTTGCTCTGATGGACTGCAGTATAGATGTTAAGAAATTGGAGCATCTTGTCTGAAATGTAAAAGTTGAAAGATTTAGATAAAGGCATAGTCTTTATGGGTATCTGATAATTTATAAGTCCTAACCTGGTCTATATGGCAAATATTGCCCATACAGGCCATAATGCTAAGCCAATATTTGTTAAGCTTCTTAAGACTAAACTATTAAATGGTGGGATTTATATATCAAGGCAAAAGCAAGCTAACCATATTAGGCTTAGAGTAATGTGTAAAGCAGGCTTTGTATTAGAGATATGACATAACTCTGGAAGTTTTTTTTTCCAAATCAGTGATTTAAAGTGTTTGTCTCCAACTTCTGTTGGTTATTGTATCATTTCTTTATCCTTTCTTCAAACTATTCAGAAACTAAGAAAAAAACCTCTAGAAAAAAAGAATGAAAATCTAAATTTTCACTCAAGTTGTTAGAATAGCCTTTCTAAATTTTTGTCTTTCAGATATCTTGGATTTCAATTCCTGGCAAGTTCAGCCACCATGAAGTTTGCACTTGGCTTCCTATATGTCACTTTAAACAAAACCTTAGAAAATACAAAAGATCTTAGATTATACATTTCCACCCACTCCTGAACTCCAGCAATTAAATGGTGTATCGCCTCAAAATACGAACATGCTACATGGTAAATTAGTACATGTTATCAGTTTTCTAGACAATGTTTTCTAATTTATTTGTAATCCCATAGTCTGAATTTAACATTGTAAAAATATTCATTAATGAATTCAGGGTTTTGACATTTTTGGTCATGTCCCAATACAACAGGTGTAAAGTTGTTCTCTAGAACTAACATAGACATTACAGCTGTGGTTCTTGATTTAGAATAAGAAAGGCAATTCTCCACAAATTGCTGAACTATAATTTCTAGCAACCACAGCAGGGTGGCTAAGAGGAAGGAAGGCTGAAACTCAGATTCAGGAGATATCTGGAGGGGCAGAGGCTTCAGTCTTCCTTTTGAGAAAAAAATTCTTAGACAACCTAAGCACTCTCAGTTTGGTGATTAGACATGGGTAAAATATCTAGCATAGTCTATTCTTCTGACAGGTTAAGAATCACCACTCCACGATTTAACCATGGTGTACTGAGAGAACGACTTAAAATTATTTAACATGCTATGAGGGACCTGTTGATACTAAGCTAGTTTCATGAGCCTGTTTTCAGAAATGCTTGATGTGAAATTCTCCACGAGAGGGCAGCAAACCCTGACATTTTTAATTCTGCTATTTAGGGCCTTGTGGTCTCTTATGCTGTTCAGCATCCAACATATATTAATCTAGACCTCTTGGTCAGATGGCTGCTAGAATTTTTTGGTAGACAGCAAATTGGAAGACAATGATGTTGATCCATTTGTGCCCATCAAGGTAGATGTTTAAAATAGGCTTTTGATCTTTCTGTTTCAAAAGGAATGTAGTATTGAAATTATCAGTAAATACTAATGTATATTGCATATATCGAATTAAAATATAATGAACAATAGGCAGTCTTTTGAACTTTTGAATCTCAGTCTTCTGAGATTAAATCCCATGATACATTTCTACATAAGTCTTATATCAAAGGAAAAGGTTTACCAAGAAAAACATTTGATAAAATTATACTATACTTCACTCAATATTTTTATTTCCAAAGAACATGTGGAGTTACTCTTTGATTAATAATCTGCCTGCTGTTTGTGCATGGGCCATTCCACATGTCTATGAACACAGCATGCTTTGGCCTGATCTGTATTAATGAAAATATTTGTTTAATTACTGCCTCAATCCAAAGGACTTCTCACAGCATACAGTAAAAATAATCCGCAAACAACAAGTAAGCAAAAAGGAATACCAACACAACAGTAACATCTGATACAAAAACAATATAAATGTTCTGGACCTATCGGCCAGGGCCAAAGGCTCTCTGAAATAAAATACATTTAATTAATTTTGGGAATATATTTTTCAGAGGGAGTATTCCACAGGATGAGGATTATACAAACATTCCATCTACCTTGCAAGGATTTCAAACATTTTCAACAGGTCCTTTCTAGATGACCAGAGAAACAATCTACTCTATTAAGTCATTTACTAATAAAAATGGGTGCTTCATTATGCTTTGAAGATAATAACCAACAATTTGAATTCAGCCAAAAAACTACTAAGGTAGCAACTTTAATATAGACATAATTGTACATTAGAAGCATTTTGCAGTCTCACAACAGCATTTGTATCAGCTGCAGCATTTGGATTATCTTCAAAGGCAACACAGCCAGAAAACTTTGCTAGTCCAAATGAGTGGTAAGTAGGATATGAATTATTGGCACCCTGAATCTGAAGCAGAGCTTTTTAGTCTTTATGAAACTTTTTCTGTGACAAACCTCAGTTAAATAGTAGGGTTGTGTAATGCACTGAAAATGAGCACTTAGCCAAGCACACTGGTGTGAACAAAATGCAACATCTTGGACCCTTAAAGCACCTGCATCCTGCAAAAGTTTTCCCTGTTTTCTCCTTATTGGGTATACACAAGTGACTCACATCTGCTTAGCATGATAGGTGTAAATGGAAAAGTTACTTAATTTAAATAGAAATATAATGTATTTCTCTTGAAGGAGACTGTTTTCATCACAGAAAACTCACAAATCAGTCTTTCCTGTTTAGCATTCCTTTTAGAATGCTAAAACACCCAAAAAGAGTTTATTTTATTATTTCCATTGGATTACTTTTTAAATAAAGGACTGAAAAGTAGGACACTTTTAAACAGTCAACAAATTACATTTTCTCTGTAGAAAAATATTCTTGCAGTTGGAACACTATTGGAATACAATAATTTTCCCCAGTTTAGGAATATGTTTTTTGGGGAATTCTGGGTTATGAAAAATAGGTAGCAGAGATATATCCTTGACTTACAACTGTTCATTTAGTGACAGTTCAAAATTACAACAGCAGTAAAAAAAAAGTGACTTATGATCAGTTTTCGCATTTATGGCCATTGTAGCAATCCCATGGCTGTGTGATCAAAATTCAGATGCTTGGCAATTGATTCATATTTATGATGGTTGCAGTGTCCTGGGATCATGTTATCCCCTTTTGCAACCTTCTGACAAGCAAAGTCAATGGGGAAGCCAGATTCACTTAACAACCATGGCATCAGTGGTGGTATTCGACCGGTTCTGCCCAGTCCTGGAGTGCCGGTAGCGGCAATGAGCAGTGGAGACAGAACCGGTTCTCTCTACTACTCTGTGTTTGGCCCACCTACCCACCCGGGCTCCCATACTCACTTTTATGGCCAGAATTCAAAGCGCAGCTGTTTTGCGCAGCGCAGAACAGCGCCGCGCGGCTGCTGCTGCAGTGATCAGCATCATGCAGGCTTTCAGTAGGTGAGTTAGAATGCTTCTGTGCCTGCACAAATGCCTCTGCGCCTGCACAAAGTGTGCATTTGGCGTGTGCATGCACAGAAAGTGTGTGCATGCATGCAAAGCGTGCCCACCAAGCCACGCCCACCGAACCAGTGGCAACTTTATTTGAATACCACCACTGCATGGCACTAATTTAAAAAAATTAAAGTGGTTCATTTAACAACTGTGGCAAGAAAAGTCATAAAATGGAGCAAACTGACTTAACTGTTTCACTTAGCAACAGAAATTTTGGGCTAAATTGTGGTTGTAAGTTGAGAATTACTTGCACTAGATAGAGACGTCTGGAATAAGAACTTTCTCTGGTGTTTCTCCAAGCTGTAATAAAAAAAATTGCACATGTTTGCTGTGTAAATGGATTGGCAAACATTCTTAAAATTCATGATTACTTGGAAGAACCATTCTATATCTGTTTTGATATAGTTGGTGGCTGAAATTTTTCGTAAAAAAATACTCAAATAGCTTTTTCAAATGGAGGATACAGAACATATAGAAGGAAGCAATGCATTCCATAAGCTCGCTATTGCATGCAGTTGCATTTTCTTATTATTTCTTGGCTGCTGCATTTTATTTGTCAGCCATGGGAAAATAAATGGGTTAAATCTACTTTATTGTTTAATTGTGTGTGTTCCACAACTCTTCCTTTTAGGTTCTTTGTAATTTCAAAACGCTAAAAGTTACTGTATGCAAAGTAGTATGAGGCAGAAAGAAAAATTTTCAATTATCAATGTGTCACAACATTTTGTTACAGAAATTTCTATTCCATTGCTTTTCTAGAAATATCAATAGCACAAAGCTTTGAAAAAGAGCTTTGAGAAACACATTCTAGCTTGATTTCAGTACTGCTCATAACCACTTAGCTCATAAGCTCTCACACTGAGTTCTTTTGTTGTCTGGAGTTTTTATGAGACCGTATCTGTCAAACTAATCTATGGAGATAAATCAAAGCCCACAGTCATGTCTGTTAAAGGCACTGTGAGGGATGTAGTCACTTTATCATTTATTGTGACTAGTTAAAAGGAAAGTGTGATGATATGGAATGGAAAGTAAGGATGGCAAAAGCATTGTCTTCCTTAAAATAGGGATATATTTTTTTAGTACAGAATAATAATAGTTTCATGCTAGCATATCAAACAGTGAAGTGAACTAC